ACCTCCTAACTCAAGACTGAGAGACCTGCCCATTAAAGACACGACAGACCCTATGGAGGTTCGGAAATGTGGGGTGGGGAGGAGCGTGCGGTATAAAATTAATTGGTCTACACTGCAAAATACAATGTTGCTTGCCTAATGCCTGGTGAGCCAACGGCAGGAAATTTCCCACCTGGTGATTACTTCTGGGAAAGTTTTGGGCAAAAAACTAATTTGGTTCATGGTCCCTGCTTTGCAATTCCTATATCACCTCATGGTATAATGTCCATGAAATTGTCTGATAAATTGCTTTGTGAACAGAATCAGTCTGCAGCTGACTTTGCAGAACTCTGTCCCAATAATGAACTGAATTATTCAGACATGACTGTGGAAGGTGATAATTAGGCAGCTTGATCACACATCTGAGCAACTGCTGGATCCCAGATTATTCCTAAAGATAATTCCATGGGAATCAGCAACCAGAGCCGAGCTGCTTGAACGATATGAGATCATCCATTTCTTTTGAAAAAAACAAAGTTGAGTTAGGGTTAGAAAACCAAGCTTTGGAATTCATTTCTAGAGAAATAGAATTGAAAAGCAGAGAAGTTGTGATAGAATTGTATTAAACCTTTACTAGTTCACATTCATAGCACTGAGCATGATTCTGGTTATCACAACTTTACTGTCCTGCACTGTAGGGATTCTATGATTCTGACTAGAGCAGTGTGTTACAAGATGTGCATTTAAGAAGGATTTGTTCCCCTCATGTTTCTTTTGAAGCCAAGTGTTATAAGCTTGGGAACAAGCTGTCTGCTCTGAGCCCAGCAACGTAGTGAGCTTTGGTTTTGTTTGAAGTTGGAATGGTAACAGCGGCATGAAGGGGTGGGGTCAAGCTCTCTCAGAACCAGGGCTTTAGTTTAACTTTCAGTAGCTGTTGTAAGGGTTCAGAAACCACAATACGTTTCTCCCTGCTACAGCAAAATGTTTGATGGCTCTTGCTCTCTCTCGTTTCCCCACCCGGACTGGAGATCGCTCGTGACACAATCTATTTTACTGGATTTGCCTTTGCCAAGGGTGTGTGTATGGGATGTTACTATATTGGAACTATATTGCTGTTTAGTAATTAACTTAATCTATTGACTATTAAGTTTCAAATAGAGTTAGGTTATTCCAATTCTTCTTTCCATTGTTTGGATTTTAACTATAGTGTAAGAATAAAGTGTGTGTTTGCTTCAAGTCTGGTAGTTTGACTACTCGAATTGCATCTGGAACACAAGGCCTTACACTTGTCTTTAAAATAAGAAAAAGTTGGGCTCTAGGCTATCTTCTTAATGTATTTTAGATGGATATGGTCTGGTCCATAACAACTGTGTGTAGTTTTAGTCTCCATATCACTGGCTAATGGCCAGTAGCAGTTGTGTTATCCTCTGTAGCTCAGGAAACCAATGGCCACAATAAGAGATTGACCAGTGGCTGGCATACAGCCACTTGCACTTATCCTAATGCTAATTCTAACATGATCTTGTACTACCCCATGTTACCCTTGTATCATAATAAAACATCCCAATCTCTTCACAGGCACATCATAGAATGAAGCATGACTCCAAAGTTAATCAGGTGACCAAAGGTTTAGTGTAAGAGAGAGGTGTTAAGGAGCATTTTAAAGGGGGAGAGAGGTGGAGAGGTCTAAAAAGAGAATTTTAGACACTGGGGCCTAGGCAACAAAGGAAACTGCCATGAATGTTGGTGGGATTATAATTAGGGTGGTTCAAGTGGCCAGAATTAGAGGGGAGCTGATATCTGAGGTTTGTGGGACTGAAGGAGGTTACAGAGAAGGGGGTTGAAAGCAAAGATGAGAATGAAAACATCAAGGAGCTATTTAACTGCCTCAAGGTGCTACATAGATTTGGAGATCAACAGAAGCCATGAGAGAGGAGATGTGGTTGTCAGAGGATGGGTTTTAATGGGGGCTTAAACGAGGAGATTAATACCCTGCCTCTCTCTTTCTGGGAGTTAGCAATTCCCCTCCATCTTCCTGTTTGGTTTCCACCCTGATCTTTACTCTATAATAAAAACCAAAAGAACTGCGGATGCTATAAATCAGGAACAAAAACAAAGTTGCCGGAAAAGCTCAGCAGGTCTGGCAGCATCTGTGAAGGAGAAAACAGAGTTAACGCTTTGGGTCTGGTGACCCTTCCTCAGAACCGAACTTTTTTGTTCCTGATCTTTATTCTGTCTTTCGTGTTCCTTAACTCGGTGCAGCCCCTCTGCTTTCAAATCCAGGCTCATCACTGAGGATCCATTACAGAATCAGAGTTTCCTGGAACCTGGGATCTGTGGAAGGTTTCTGCTCCCTCACTCTTCACACTATCAACAGGGTATTATTCCAGTTGTATCCCACAGACTAACCTTTACTTTTAGCTTTATTTCTTCAGTTTTCTACTTAATCCGATGAATTACTGTAATGCTTAACTTTTAACTTTCTTTCCACTTTTTCTTCTTTTGATTCTGTACCTAGGTACTTGTACCTAAGATGGCACCTTGTGTGGCAACATTATACACTTTTCACTGCAGTCCTGTACTTTTGGACTTGAGTACACATAATTTAAAAAATCTAACTGCTAGGGTAGGGGCTCCTTTTCCTAGGCCCTCTGCCCTTTCACTGAGTAATGGTGGGGGGGTTGGGGTGGGGGGGGGGGGGGTGCTGGGTGTGAGGTGGGACAGAGGAGGGACTGTCTCTTTAAGGTGTGCCAAGCTGCTTTGTCTGTACAATACGCTTGGCACTTGAGCCCTCTGCAATGTCTGGGAAAGCTGTCCTTACAGACAGCCTCAGAATGAGCTTATTGATGCTGTCTTGGTTACTCAGCAACAATGTTAGAGTGAATGGTGTGGGAGTGGCCGAGGGCAGACGGGGTAATAATTAAAGAAGCCAGCGGAGGGCGGTACATAATGGGAACCCGTGCGCCTGCCTTTACACAGGGACCAGGGGCTGGGTTTCTCTGGGTTTCCAGGCTGTGAGACTCCCAGGCTGGACAGATCTGGCCCTCCAGCCTGCTCCACCATTCAGTTATCTTCACCTGATCCACCCACCTCAGATCTGTAAGATACTTAGGATCAGGAGCAGGCCTTTCAGCCCCTCTAGCCTGCTCCACCATTCAGTTAGATCACAGCTGATCAGATCATAGCATTTTACAGTACAGAAGGAGGCCATTCAACCCATTGTGTCTATAGAGGCTCCCAAAAGACCTACACAGCCAGTACCACCCTCCAGCCCTATCTTTGTAGCCCTCTAAACTTATCACTTTCAATCACCTCATTTTCCCACATTATCTCCATATCCCTTTAATGTCACTAGTCTCCAGGAAACTATTGATCTTTGTTTTGAACCGGTTCCATGACTCCACTTCCGCAGGCCTCTGAGCGAGAGAACTCTAAAGACTCACCACCCCCGAGTGGAGACATTGCTCCTCATCTCAGTCTCCGAATGCCTGTTCCTTATTCAGAGACTGTGTCCCTGTTTGTAGTGAGTCGTCCTCCCAACCCCCAGCCCAGGAAGACTTCTTATCTAAACCATCCTCTCTCACACACTGTTACGGATTTTGTAAGATTCTTTGAGATCACTCCTCATTCTATTGAACGCTTGAACTTTAACATCCTTCGTTAGCTCTTCCCAGATCTCCCCCCTAGGCAGTCTAGCTGTCACCTATAGGGTCTATCCCATTAGCATGGACAGCAATTACCACCCAAACCTAACTTCCGGTCTCCACACTCGGGCAAAACTTTCTCTCGCTCTACCTCCATCAAGTTCTTTAATCGTGTGAAATATCTCTGAGATATCGCCCCTTAATATCCTAGCTTAAGGCTACACAAAGGCTGCAATGAACATCAGGCCTGATAAATTCCCCTTCTCAGATACCCCAGGCAGCTGTCTGATTTTTTTTTAGATCAAGTTGATTCAGTATTTTGAAATCCCCCTTGTCTTTCGTAAGACCGATCTGACCAAAAGTGGCTGACTATTCTGGGCACCAAGTGTCGTTGCAGTACCTCCACTGTTGCCCAATAAGGGACGCCACGTGCCTGGATGAGGGCAACTTCCGCCATTCCTAACCTCCTGCCTAGGTGGCGTGGCTGGAGGAGGTCCATCTACAAGTCTGGGCAAAAGGTGATTAAAAATGATGGTGAAACATGCCTGTCTGCAGATAGTTTTGATTGATAGGCGGTACCAGGAGTTGGCCCTCAAGAACAAGACCATTATCATCTCTCTGTCCCTCCCTTGGACAGATGCTGCAAAGTAAGGCAGTGAGGAGGTGGTGACATTGGCAGAGGAGAATTTAAATGGAGCCTTGCATTGCCAATTGTTCTGCTGTTTCCTCAGTTTGATTGGATGCCCTGTCAGACCTTGGCAGGGAAGCTGCTCTTCTGTCTCCAGCTCTCATCTCTTGAGTTACAAGGTTGTGAGTTTAAGTCCCACCCCAGACAGACCTGAGCGCATATTCTCAACTTGTATTCCCAGTGCGGTACTGAGGGGGAGCTGCAATGCCAGAAGTGCCATCTTTCGGACAAGACATCGAACAGTCTGGTGTCTCAAGGGGACATTAAAGATCCTGAAAGACAATATCGAAGAAAAGCAGGAGAGATTGCCCCCACACCCCACTCACCTTCTACCCGCCCCAGGTGACCAATATTTCTTCCCAAGTCAACATCACTTAAAAATAAGATTTTATCTTGTAAAAATCACACAGTTATTTGTAGGGTTTTGCCATGTAAATTAGCAAGGATATACAAGGAGAACTGGAAGGGAGGGTTATGGAGAGAGAGAAGTTAGATTGGCCTATCAAATTTTGAAGTCTGTATCAGCTGGCTTGAAATGATAGAGCAGAGATAGAGTGCAGAATGCTACTTAGGGTAACTGGTATCTGGACCACTCTGCTCACATTCTCCCAGCGAGAGAGTGGTCCCCAGTGATGTAGAGGGCCCTAGTCGAACATTAGAGTAACTGTAGTGATGATGCCATCTTGTCTTCATTCGCTATCTGCGACAGTCCAGTTGCTCTGCAGGCTATGTTTGGAATAATGTGCTGAGTAAATAAGTTCACAGTTGCTATGGGAACCTTGCTCATTGGCTCTTCGTTCTGAGGTGATCGAAAACAAGAAGTGTGGAATTCTTAGGTAGAGTTTACCCATAACGCATCGTGGTGGAGATGTCATGGCAGCCACAGTGGCCTGAACAAGAGAGCGAAGTTGACTGGCAGTATAAGGCTGAGAAACTCTCGGTTTCAAAGAGACAGAAAGGTGATAGTTATGACTGAGGTGAACTTTGAACTCTGCATACTCGTGGTTGGTTTGGTGACCCCATTGGCTAGCTGTAAACAGCAGAGATTCTCAGCTGGAGGTATAGGTTTCTGGTGAATTATAGATGGGCAGTGCAGACAGGCTCTCCAGCTGGGACAGCAACCACTCAATCAGGGTGCCAACTTGTTACATCAACTCTGGCCTTTTGTCCATTCCTCACTATTGTCAGCTGTGCCTTCAGCTGCCTGGGGCCTAAGCTCAGGAGTTCCCTTCCTAAACCTCATCACCTCTCTCATTCGCCCTCTGTTTGTTTTAAGAAATACTTTAAGGCCCCGGCCTCCTCTCCAGTCCTTGTATCCCCTTATTGAGATGCCAAAAGATTTCCAACAAGAGAGGCCATTCAGCCCATTGGGTTTTGATTGAAAAAGGCTACCCAGTCTAATCCCACCATCCTGTCCCTGGCCCTACAAGTCATGTCTCTTCAAATAGACATCCGAGTACTTTTTTACATCCTTTTCAGGCTGCACGTTCCAGACGCTTCATCTTTGTGAAAAAGCACTTCCTCCTCTCCCTTCTAATCCTTCTACCCGTTGTACCAAATCTGTGCCCCATGGTTCTGACCATTCTGAAAAGCTAAGTGGATTGTCTCTGTCTACATGCCTCATATTTTGATGCACCTCAGTTAAGTCACCCTCCCCTTTCTCTGATGCAAGGAAAACACCCCTCACCCATCCAATATTTCTCATTGCTAAAGTTTTCCTATTCTTTCAATGTTCTTTGAAAATTCCTTTAACAGGATGTTGCCAGGAATGGAGGCTTTGAGTTATACGGAGAGGCTGAATAGGCCGGGACTGTTTTCACTGGAGCATGAGAGCTTGCGGGGTGACCTTATGTGGGTTTATAATGCCATTAGGGGTATATATAAGGTGAATGGCAGGTGTTTTTTCCCTAGGGCAGGGCATTTCAATACTAGGGGGCATGTTTTTAAGGTGAAAGGAGAAAGATTTTAAAAAGAAAATGAGGGGCAACTTTTTTACCCAGTGGTTTGTGTGTGGAATGAGCTTCCAGAGGAAGTGGTGGATGCAGGTACAGTTATAATGTTTAAAAGATAGTTGGATAAGTACATGAATAGGAAATGTTTGGAGGGATATGGGCCAAGCGCAGGAAGGTGGGACTTCAGTTTAATTTGGGATTATGATCACAGACTGGTTGGACTGAAGGATCTGTCTTCGTGCTGTATGACTCTATCCCCTTCAATCTCCTCTGCATTTTGGTGACAAACTTTTTTTTTTGTTTTTTTTTAAAATATTCATTCATGCAATGTGGGTATCGCTGGTGGGGCCAGCATTTCTCATCCATCCTAAATCTTCTTTGAACTGAATGTCGTCTTAGGCCATTTCAGGGGTGGTTAAGAGACAACCACATTGCTGTGGGTCTGGAGTCTTATGTGGGCCAGACTGGGTAAGGCCGGTTGGTAACCTTCCCAAAAGGACATTAGTGAACCCCATGAATTTTTACAACAATTATTGATGTTCTTCGTCACCATTACTGAGACTAGATTTAACATTCAAGTTTCACCACCTACTAATACGTTAAGGAAGCTGTATAAATGTAAGTTGTTGATAATGATACTTCTGCCCCCGACCCTGCCTCTGCTGGGGGTGTGTATTGGTAATGGGCTTCACTTACTGATCCTTCCTGTCATTGCACACACTGACTGCTAACCCCTCCATCCCCCTGAGGTGGTTCACTTGGATTAACCAGACACCAAACAGCAATCGAGTCCTTGGGAACAGCGTCCCCTTATGGAAAACATCTGCCAGAAAGAGGATTTGGGGGGTGGCAGGCAGGGGCTGAGAAGTTAATTAATTAATTAAACAGCCGCCAGTATTATTGCTTTAGAATGTGCCGCACCTTCTGCAGCCAACATCCCTAAAGGCCATTAACCAGTGGTGTTTTGAAGCTGGAAGGTTTGTATTTATCGAGTGCTTTTTGTGACCTCTGCATGTTCCAGACCTTTCCGATGCCAGTTAAAGAAGGGTTTGGAGAGTAGAACGTAGGCAGACTTCTTTTTGTTGGTGGCTTTTGATTAGCTTTACGCTGTGCGGCTTGCCCTGCAGATTACATCAAAAGCTCCAAGTATTCCTGGGCCATTTACTGAGCTGACTGTTTGCAGTGTTGGATATTTGCAGTGCCAGCAAGCAACCACGGAACGGGTGTTACGTGCAGAATGTAACTAGGTTGTGGTCCCAAAATAGCAGCTCTGTGGCACTGGGAGATAATTTTTTTTTAAAAGTGGGACACACCATTGTTTTCTGTAGAGATGACACAGGGACAGCTTAACTCTCGGGTAGAGGGGAACACA